GTATTTCATAAAGACAGGAAATTTAGCAACACATATATAGATGTTAAGTGAACACTTTATACATATCATCAATTAAATAGCAAACTAAAGATTTTTTTGTTCCTCAATACCCTATATTTTATGAGATATAAATACAATACTTATAAGAACTCACCTACCTCTTTAGTCCTCAAATTACACATTATAAAATGTGTATCATTCCCAGCACTACAAAAAAAAATTTTTTTTAACCGAACAGCTAAATACGTGGCTATCATTTATCACAAAGTGTCATGAGGACTAAGTCAAAAGTACTCAGCACAGGGCTTGGCACAGAGAGGCATTGCGGGATGACTTATAATACCATTGTCCCAAATGAAGCAGCAGTAGCCAGTGCTTTTATTTCGCTTCCTTCCCTCTAGCTTGCCAACCTGTGGCACTAAGCATCAAATGGCAATTATGACAACGCAGAATGAGCAAAACGGTCTGAAGTGGCTTTAAGTTACTTATGACTTAAAAAATCCGACTTGAGAACTGGAAGGGACTGAGCACGTCCCACCATCCAAGAACTAATCAGAACCTGCCATCACTTAAAAAGAAAGAACCAGGGCATTATTTCCTACTGCCTTCTATAACGAACTATAAATGTGTTTGCATGGAAAGACACCATCGGCAAATTGGAAAAGAATATACAGACTTTAGAACACAGAGAGAAATATTTGGGAAATAACAAATGGTGGCCGTGTGAAAAAAAGAATTGCTTCCTGAAAATCAACAACGCCGGGCCAGAGCTCCATCCGTCGTCTCTGACGGGTGTGAATGAGACACAAATGTGGACGCTCAGCTTGCTTCTCACTCTATTTTAACAGCAAGAAACATCCCAGCAATTTGGCATTCCATTTAAAGATTCTTTAAAATAAATGACACATATTTGCCAGGAAATGCACACAAAAAGAACGGTGTACTCTGGATTTCTGCCTTAGTTTAAGCAACTTGATCAACTAATAGAACCAGACTAATTCTGTAACCCTGAAAATTTTTTTATAAACCAGCGGTTAGGGAGTATTGGGGTTTAGAGAGGATTTTGAGCATTTTATGTTCTTAATGCCTGCAATCATTTAAGACCTTGAATAAATTTTGCTAAATAATACTTTACACCTCTAATACCTCATTTGTTTACGGAGTTGGTATTTTGCTTTCAATGGTAGATCAAATGCAAAGGAAAGTTTTAATAATTTTTACATGGTTGATTCTAACATATACCTGGACTCACTTGCCCCGAATTAATAAGCTGTATTGTTACATATCCTTATGATATGGAATCATTTCCAAATTTATTCCTGAGGCTTCCAGTCAGACTTCCCCATGCCATATGATTGACGGGAAATGACACAGTGGGGAGCTGATGAGAACAGCCGTTTAGGTCGTGAATGCCACTCTGTGCACACCTGGGACATCTTCACCTTCTGATTCCACAGTTCACACCAGGCAAGGTTCCAGACCAGACTGCCCGGGCTGGCTATTTCCCAAAGTGATGGAACCCAAGCTGCACAATGTTTCTCACCTCTGCTTTGAATACTGTTTTTTTTTCTCTGAGGATCCTACTTCCCATAGTTCATATTCTTCATGCTTGTGGGTAAACAGGGGCTGTTCAGACAAGGTTTGCATAGGGCTGATTCTCTTGTGCTTTGGGAACCTTCCTGGGTTTGGGGACACCTCCAATTTAGTGTGTCTTAGATATGATGCTACAAGGTTGTTAATTAGTAATAGCATACAAATCTTTAGGAATAGGTTTGAAAGAACAAATTAGACAATTTTAAACTACCCTTAAAACAGTGTCATTCTAGTCAATTGTCTTGTTACCTTTCTTGAGTGGATTTCGAGGAGAGAGAGCAGCCTCACTGGAAACTATTTATTGACCATTGTCAAAGGCCCGAAAATGCCTGGGCTGTGTTCCGAACGTCTGTATCCCTAGGTTCCCATGTTCGAAACTAATCTCCAGCGCAACAGTATTAAGACATGAGTCGTTGGTGGGCAGTTAAGTTATGAATAGGGTAACTGCCCATACAGAAGGGAGCTCATTCACTACTCCTCCCTGTGAGGAAGAAACAAAAAGGTCTGTCTGTGAAGCAGTGAGCATGTTCTCACCAGATATTGAATCTTCTGTTGTTCTGATCTTGGGCTTTTTAACTTCCAGATTGTCTATCTATAAGTTCCCTTGTTTGCAAATCTCCCAGAAAAAAAAAAAAAAGGTACTTTGTTATGACAGTCAGTGGACTATAAAACAACCTCACCTGTGTGAACCCCATCCCTGTTTTGTGTGTATGCTGTCCCTGGGAAAGAACCTGAGGAAAGTTGCCTTATTCAGGTCCTGTTTTTCTTCATAGCACAGGGTAAACAAAATGCATACCTTCTGCTGTTGGGGGAGCCCTCAACGGAGCCGATGATCTCAAGGCCTTAGCTTCAATGCCTTTGCTAAGGAAACCTTATGACATGGACCTCATCTACGCATATCAGATTGTTTTCCTTTGGACATGCAAACCAGTGGAGAGCCTCACATGCAAATGCAGCCACAGTGTAGGAAGCATGTGACTGTTTGTAAAGAAGCATCTGCATGCCTTGCTTGCATGCAACAATGCTGCCTGCAGCAAATCAGGAGAGAACTCCAGACAGACTTCACGGAACTCCTCTGTGCAGTGAGAGTGTCCACCACGAACTCAGCAGGGTCTCATCTGAACACCTATTTCCTGGGCACGTCAAGCTTTCCATCTGTGACCAGGGAATGAAAGTTATGGGTGTGTGAGTCTGTATATGTTTGGGGCAATGGATACAAACAACAAAAAAAAAAGGACTGAAATGATCTGACTTAATACTTAAGAATGTTTTAGAAAACCACTTAGAGAAATATCTCAATTATCGATGCATCAAGTTTAGGTGGTAACTTAAACCACCAGTTTTTCTGGTGGTTTTGATTGCACTAAATATCCAATATATAACTGACTAAATTCCAAATCAGTAATCATGGACTAAATTCAAATTCTTAAATTACTGATGCAAAACAATCATTTAGTTCATGAAACAAAGTATATTTTGTTTTTCTAAAATTACAAATAAAATGAAATCATGTATTTGGTCCCTGGCCTGTATATGGCTGACCTTTGCCTTAGAAAATAATAGAATATTGTGGCTTAAGGATGTCAATGGGTAAGTCGCTCTGCACGGAACTGCAATTGACAATATAATAAAATCTAGAATGAAAAACTTGCATGCTCTATGTCCCATTGACTTTATAAGCTGCAGTCTATCTGCCTCTAAGAAAATTGTGTCAGAGTTTAGAATTCCATAGCCCAAGCATGAGAGGAGAGTTTATTAACAAATGGGCCACACAGGAAACATCCCGGGCGCCCTGACCACTGAGCTTCTGCTGCGTCTAAGTAACTCTGGAGTTAAAGTGCAAAAGTGACTATATGTACGCCAATATGTGTGGCTGTGTTACAATAAAACTTTATTCACAGACACAAAACTTTGAATTTCATTTCATTTTCACATGTCACAACACACTCTATTTTCAGCCACATAAAAGATCAAAGTCATTCTTTGCACCCAGGTCAAACATAAACAATCAGTGGGTTGAATTAGGCCCGTGGGCCATAGTCTGCTGACCTCTGTCTTAGAAAATAAAAGAAAACGTGAGTCAAGAATGTCAGTGACCCTCTCGCACTCCATCAGAGATTTGAACACAGCATCACCCGTAAGCCAAGCTGTAAAAGCCAGTTTGCCCTGAGCTTCACAGCGAGAAGATAACTGGCCTCATCCAAGCCATGACTCATTCTATAAAACTGATCTGAGCTCTTCAGAAATATCAAGATGGTGAGGACCAAAAACGGGAGTTATAGCAAAAAAAAAAAAAACCTATTCAGGATCAATAAGATGCAAAGCAAAAACGCCCACGTGGTCATTGTTTGGGCACTAGACTGGAGGTAATGGCACCGAAAAAGAGCTTATCTTGAAATCGAAGAAATTTTAATAAACATTATTAAGAGATATTAAAGACTTGTAGAAAATACCTTTGTTCCTGGTCATATGAGCTCAAGACTTTACAAATGAAGTCTACTCAAGAAATAAATTTCAAATGGCACAATCATACAAGAAGGTGCGTGTGTGTATGGTGTAAAGAGAGAAGGAAGAGATATAAAATACTAACAGTAAATGTATATGAGTGGTAAGTATGCAGACATTATCCTTCTACCATTTGGTTCTTCCATAGGTTGGAAATTAGCAAACTGAAATTGGAAAGACTGCATGTACATGAAAAGAGATAGAGTTGTAAGACTTGGCAGTCCAAGTTCTGTTTCAAATGTGAAAGTTACGATACTTGAAGGTCGGTTACTCTACAAAACTCCAGCATATTTCAATTTCATTCATAAGTGAGTGCAGCGTGGCCTGTTCGTTGCTTCCATCTGCTTTGTTCGCAGCTACTACAGAACGTCTGGAACCCGAGTTGAGTGAGTCAGTCAACAAAATATTCAAAACTGGGCTGTGGCAGGCCTAGATCCTCTTGTGTGCAGATTTGCTGAATAGCAACAACAACAAAAATCTAAAAAAGACGTTCTCCCTCTGAAACGAAAACCACTTCACTCTTCACAGTCCAACTCAGACCGTATGACAGATCAGTCTGCTCATCTGATCATTGAAAATGTAGGCAGATTAGAAAAGAGGCAAAGTAAGAAGGTCTGAGGAAAATTAATTTGGGGAAATGTCATAATTGGTCTGTTCAAGAGTCTAATCAGAAAGAAACCTGTAAATTGGTTGGAGGCACACAACACGTTCAGTTGCCTATGTATGTTGAGGTCATACAATGCCGCACACAAGTGGCTCCCCAAGGAATATTTGGGTGCTGGAATGAATAAGTGGGTAAATAAATGGACGGGCAAATCTGTTTTACATGGAGATGTCAGGTTTGGATTCCAACGTAAGGAAAAGATTCAAGATGACTCTGGCACCAGACTGGACCACTGAAGGAAGTCATGGATTCTTCTTTTATTCACTTGTTTATTTGTTTATTTATTGAAATTTACAATAATAGAATAAACATATATCTTGAATATATTTTAGAGAAAACTTAGCACTTAATCGTCGAGACGCTTCTCTACATGTATGATGAAGACAGCCCCTTGACTGCAAGGGTTCCGTCTGTTAACATTCAGTTGGGTTGAAACGGACCTGAAATCATGACATATGAAGGGCAGTCAGAGGAACAGTGCTTAGGAGAGACCGGCAGGGCGACCCCGGACAGAGGGAACAGGAGTCCTGTGGGCTGCTGACTCTGCAGCAGACATAGGACCAATGAGTGAAACTAAGAGGGGGACGGGAAGGGACACCCTGTGGACTCTAGCAACCCACGAAAGCATATTCTAACAGAAACACATACCCAGAGGAGGAACACTTTGCTTTACCAAACAGCAAACCATTATCGTGGGCCATGTGTAGATAGTTGTCTGAGTTAATACAAACCAGATGGGCTGGTTTCAAGGGTAACTGGGAAGGTAGCATCTACACGGGTGTGAGGCTGAGGCTCTTCCATCCCCTCTCGCTGGAAAAGGCATTAATAAGTGCAAAAGTCAACCTAAAAAAATTGGTGTTAATGTTAAGTAGATAATTAATAAATACTTTCAAATCCCGAGTCTTCGTGGCTACATAAAAGGCAAACAGTACACCATGGTCCATTAATCTTTGAAGAGCTTCCCAATGAACACAGACGGTATCAATTACTGACCAAGAGAAATTCAGGTTGTCTCAATCTATAAAATAACGCCTAATAGAGGTCCAAAAATATCCAAAGATGTCCACGCCTCTAGGATTTGTCTTTCTTGTATCTCGGGCTACTATCCCTGCAAACCCTATTACTGCCTTGGGTCTAGCTAGGTTTTCCTCACGGCTCCCTACCACGCACTTATATCTAACATCTCCCCTTGCAATCCTTGTCCACACTAAAACTAGATGTCTCCCTAAGACTCCTTTGGAAGAAGTCACTACATATCTATACAACTAGAATGAGTCATCCACTTAAAAATATGTGCAGGAAAGCTTAGAAGGGGCAAAACCCACACAAAATTAAGGCCCGGTGAAATTACAGGTAAGTGCTATTTAACTGGTCCTGGGGTGGTGATACTAACGTTCTAGTCGTAACATAAAATAAATCCCCAAACAAACAAGTCTGCCTCGTACACTGCACACCAAAGCTCCAACTCAACTCCGCGAACACTTTCATTCTTCTCCATTTGTCCTTTTCTCCTATCACATCACAGTGAACCCCCACTGGTACACTCGCCTCTCACCTCCACTCTCTCCTAACCTTTCTCTTTGCCCCATTTCTTGCCGCTGTCTCTCTCGTATGACTCTTTCCCTACCCTTCCCATCTCCCTGTAGGACGCTATGGTGTGTTGTCTGTGTGGTTGGCCATTTTGCCTCTAACCGCGATAAGCCTCCAAAGGCAGTTCATGGCTCCTAGCTGCATTCCCTGAATCTCGACAAAAGATGCTAATGAGTGGTCCTGGTGAATGAATGATTGTCATTTCTGTGGCTACATACTTCTGCCATGTTCTCTTTCCTTTCTGAAATCTAATAACATACGGTGCGTGGTTTCACTTTGCACGCCTTTATCTAGTTGTATGTTTTAATGCAGGAATCTCAAAATAAAGATTTATCTCTCTCTATATATTTCCTGTTGCCCTACTCAACACTCTGATTCAGCAGATTCTGTGGAGTACCTACTGTGTGCCAGGCACTTTAGTAGGAGGGATGATATAAATTAAAAGCTGCAGTTTCTCAAGTAAAAAAAAAAAAACAACAACAAAAAACAAATGGAATATTTCTCTGCTGATTTTCTTAATGAAATAAATACACCTGAAATTTATAGTTATAAAATAATAGTCAATTTTTTCTATACTTTTTATCATCCATCAAAACCATTCAAATAATTATTTAAAATAAATTAGGACACGTAAGAGCTCTCCAAAGACAACTTTAAATCATTAACAAGTAGAAATGGAAGCATTTAGTACAAAGGGTTTTTGATGTAGGGGAAATGGCCTTTAAACTTGCTGTTTCAGGGTGTTCACTTACAGTGAAATAGAAAGAGTTTCAAAGTTCTGAAGGCTTCCGGCCGAGTCTGGAGTTTAAGCGACTTAAGCCTTTTCTGCCACATGGATATGTTGGAAGCCGATACATGTTATTTTTTTTCAGAAACAGATGCAAGAATTTGGTAAAGAACACAGGTAGAAGAGATCATTAATTTTCCTTTCCCCTAGTAAGCCGTTTTTATTATGCCAATTTTAATTACCATGCAATCGAATGGGTTTAAGGCTTATATTCTCCACATCACTGGACATCACAAACATGAACGCATTTTATACTGTCATACATCAGTGTTTGTTCTAGCTTATACATATGTACAGAAATTATTCACACATCCTCACCTTGCTATTTCCGCCTCTCAGACCAACATACCATTACCATGAAAGCAGCTTTTTCATAAATGGGATAAGAAAGACAGCAAGGCACACAGTTTGTAAAATGACGTTTTTCTCATTACCACCCCGAGAAGCATAGAAAACAAAACCAAACTTAACAGCAGAATGTACCAGTTTACAATGTACAACACCACCAGAGTTGTCTCTTGAAGTGCTGCATACATCATTATTAAAAAGAAATCATTAAAATGATGCTTTTAAATGTCATTTAATTTTGTCATAAGGACCAATATGTCTCCTCTATACTGCAACCAAATCAAGGACTGGCTTTTTCCATAAACATAGGTATAATACCATGAAAAATTTCAGAGCAAAACATCAAATTGGTCAAGCACTGGCGGGGAGGGGTGCCATTCCAGACAGTGGGTTTAATGGACCACCAATTTGGTAAACGGCAGAGCTTTAAAGGGGAGGCAGGAGGGGAGGGGGGCAAACAGAGGTCTCGCCGGAGAGGGAGGGTTGGCAGAGGTAGCTTGGGACGGGAATCCATAGGAGAGCAAGCAGCTTTGTAGACGTGAGAGGTCACCTAAAGAGAAGCGATGCGCACATCCGGATCACAAGGCCCACGTGGACAGACCGCGTTCAGACGAAAGGTGGGTCATCTTCAGAAAGTCAATGTGACAGTGACAGCAGGAAGGAACCCAAGACCAGCCCAGGGTGGATCAGGCCAGCCCTGAGCTGCAGCCAAGGCTCTCTCTAGAAAACAAAAAGACGACAGGAATAGGTTGCAGAAATATCTCTATCATTTGCAGAAGGGAGCCCTTTCGGGAAGCTGCCACTGGGGGATCAGTTGCTAAAGATCCGAAATGAGAGCCTATGAGACGTGACTAGCTCACTAGGTCAAGGCTCAAACCACACGCAAAAACCCCCACATTTTCAGGTCAGTAAGATATAAAGATACTTTAATATATTTATATGGTTCCAATAAATAACAAAAATCAAGCATGATCATCTTTTCTCTGCGTCATCAACTCCTTCATTCTTCTGTGGGTGATCTCAGTTTTATTAAGATCGTTCCAACTCTGTGTGAGAAGGTTAGACAGTTAATACCAATGGACCTGACGGTGTGAGAACAACAGTTCACAGACTGGGTTGCTGGCTCTCAGGTTAGCACGCCCTTCAGTAATTTGTGTGTGATGTTGAACAATTCTATTGTGCAGTGATGAAACAGTCACAAAATTGCGACAGTCTTAAATGCCTTAGCGCCTCACCTATAATTGGGTATAATTAGAATTTACAGCTCAAATATGACTGTGGTTCATTTTTAGGCACAGGAAACAATGAGAAAACTAAACTGATTCAATTCTCTTTTTATGTGCGATGATTGCTATGAATTTGTCCCAGGCTCATTCTGTCCTCCTTATTTCTAAATGACTATAACACCTGGTCAAATCGGAACAACATCGAAATTCCAGGATACAATTACTTTAGGTTCTCAGACTAGCTCTCAAAGCAGGCCCCTGCCTGCCTGGCTTTAATCTACATTCTGCAGAGCTATATCAGGTTTTGTCGTGACCTCTTAGAAGCAAGTATTCTTTTGTGTTTTTCTGTCTCTTTCTATAAACTTACAACTTTGTGCTGGAGTCAGAACAAGTTTTCCAACTGTTGTTCTGCTACAGCCAAACAGGATGTTGAGAAGCTAGGGAAAGTTAGCAGGAATAGGGAGACAGACAGAGGCAGATGGAACAAAATTTGGTACAGTAAAATAATGCAGTAATTCAAGAACGCACAGAGAAGCATTGCTCAAATGCTGAGGAGGTGACTCATCAGAAAGCTGCCACTGAGCAGGGAATCCTCGGGTGAAGCAAATCCTGTCTCAGTAACGAGCTGGCAATTGAATTCCCTGTGGGTAATCAATTCTTTCAACTTGGCACACTTGGGAATAGGCAGGCCAAATGGCCTCAAGCCCAAATCTCTCTCTCTCTCTCTCTCTCTCTCTCTCTGTGTGTGTGTGTGTGTGTGTGTGTGCGCGCGCGTGCGTGCGTGTGTGCGTGTGTGTGTGTGAGAGAGAGAAAGAGAAAGAGAAAGAGAGACTGACTTTATTCAATAAAATCATTTTTATTTAGCATGGTAAGTTATTCAGATGTGCCAGATAATTCAAATCACATCCAGAAGAGCCTCGGTTTAGTAAGGCGATTTAAAGGTAAATTTTACAAGACTATATGCATGGTGCCTAGTGAAAGAATAATATACATGCGCCCAGTGGAGTTCCCTAAAGCTGCTGGGCCAGCTGTGGAGAGCCCTAACCAGCGCCAGTTCAGTAGGAGACTGAGGCACCGTGTGAGGAGAAGGGTTTGCTTCTACCACGTTCTCGGTTTATGAAAGCAGACCAGAACTTTAAACTGTACATGTGCAAACCTGAATGCACATCCACATAAACAGTCATCCAAAACCAAAACTCCGGCCACCGCCACACTTGCAGACTGATAAATCAGGTAAGACAATGAAACTAAGACCAAAGAAAGTAATTAAGATCTCCCTCTTGTAACTTGCACACATGTGTGTGAGCACACATGGGCACACACGCACACACACACACACACCATGTACACATCAAGCCATCACAAAACTTGAAGGAGAAGACATCTAAGTACACCCTGGGTGCACATGAGGAGTTAACTTCTGACGCGGCAGGAGGATTTATCCAGCCTGAATTTTAGGGTTAAACCATTCATCAAAGATCACAGGCTTATGATGAGGATTATGAAGAAATAACAATCAGAATACAGCAAAAAGATTAGCGCAGAGTACCTCTCTTAGGCAGGTCCTAGGAGGAGGAGGCGTTCCCGACAGACACTGTGTGATTACTCCAAATTAGCAGAAAGAGCTGTGTTTCTCCAGTTACCTCGCCTTTGATGTGACTTGCTCTAACTGACCTCTCTATTTTTACAGAAATGCAACCCACAAATGGAACCAGTGAAAAGCCCAGCGGTGTGCCTGGGAAGAAGTGCAAACGCACTCACTGTCGGGCCCCACTAACGCTCCTCGCAAGGGTTCAGAGGTTTCTACTTTGAACATAGTAAATAAAATAATTTTCAAAACCCTTTGCAAAGAATTTGCTCTGGTTGCAGACTCTATGCATGATTCTACATCATGAACACTGTCGAGTGGAATTATAATCACTTCATCCTCTGAGACTTTATTTCTGGGCAAAGAGCTCCAGCAAACTGACTCTGGTGAACTGTGTTGTCCGGATGCAAGCACGGTCTTGTCTAATGGTCCTCGAATGGCTGTTAGAAAGAAGAGCCTTCACTGCTTTGGACCTTGTGGTAAGAACAACGCTTACAAACAAGCTCATTCTGACGTGATGTGTCATATTTACCAGGACCTTGCCTATGCTTCCTGACACCAAATGCCAAAAGCTCAGCAGCATTTTCAGACTAGGTAACTTCTTGGATGATAGTGTTTCTACTATATGTGAAAGTTTACACCCAAATGCTTGTAACTAGCCCCAAAGCCAGGTTCCAGGGTGTTTAGTTAACATGATACTGCACGCATGTGCACACACACACACACACACACGTGCACACACATCCTTGAAAGTGGATAATAAGGGCCACATATGGCTGCTGACACAGCTCTAGGTAGATAGCAAGTCACTTGGGGGCGATGTCAGTTCTACAGAAGTAAAATCTGGCTGCTTCTCCCTTTGCCCACAGTAGAGCCCGGTGTGGGGTGCAACAGGACCCTGCTGACGGGCAGGCAAGCCGCTGATAGTTTTACACTGTCTGTGCTTGTAAAATGTGACAATTACACAGATCCATCAGCACCTTCACTTCCCTCAAGTCAAAAAATGGAATCGCTCATCATTTACATTTCATTTCAATTCCATTTCTCCACGTGAGGGAGCGAAGAGGCTCCCGGAGGAGCAAACAGGGAGAATCCATTCCAGAAGGCTTCGCCAAGGCCAGGGCTTTCTCTGCTCCACATCTCAGTAGGCCTGGTGACTCGGGTCACAGTCACAGGCTGGCATGGTCAGGGTGCTGTTGCTTTCAAGCCTTTCTCCTTTTTCAGAATTCAAAATCAGCCAGGCTCTCCCCCGGCCTTCTGTGGAGGCTGCCAGAGTCTGCATCCAGTCAGTTCTAATAGAACTTGCCCTGAAGTAGCTTATGGAATCCCAGTTACTTTCCCTTAATGGTCAGTTTTACTGCATACTGATGGAGAATTTGATTATAGGGTGGGCACCACTCACAGGGAACACATTTCTCTCTCTCTCCTACTTTTGTTCTCCCTCGCTGCCAATTGTACATAGGGTCTGAAACAGAAAATTAGTGAAGCAACATTAGTAAGTAGGGTGGCTGTCTTCAGCTTTGCATACCGAGTTTATTTTTAGGGTACATATATGGTATAGGTTGCCCCCCTCGCCCCCTTTCGAGCAGCGCTACACAGAATCACACATTTTAATGAGCTTAGGGCACAGGTGTTGCAGGAAAAAAAATAATGATGTTTGCCATTCATCTTTCAAATTAAATAATGTGTTTTTAAATAGTAACTTTTTTCATAATACATTATGGGAACAACATTTATCTGTCACATTTTAAAAGATGTATTTGTAATAAATGTAAATTACTTTTAGAAAATCAGTAATTAGGCTCATCAAAAAATAAACAATCTGCCACAAAAAAGATAATCTTTAGCATAGTTAAGTATAATAACTGTTATTTGAATAAGTTAACAAATTAGGGTAGATTGCTTCTGTAATTCATTTCCTATAGCACGAGTGTAGGTTACGCATTAGGTTTCTGCAGTGGGGGTGGAGGCGGCACTACGCACCTCACCCTCTGGTGAAATACAACTCTCATATTTGAAAGCTAAGTTCCTCTTTAAACTTGATCGAGGAAGTGCATTCATCATTTGGGGTTTAGAAATGGAAATAACAGAATCCTTGTGTCACTTTTAGAGCTATCGCACCATCCCAGAATTATCAATCAATAGCTGTCTTATTAAATATGAAAAGTAGAATGACTTTCTCAAAAAAAAAATGATGGCAATCAGCCTGTCACCTTCAGGCAAAATTCAAAAATTCTGTTTTTATCAAAACGCCATTAAATTGTCACATATTCTCCCAGCCCTTGTGTTCTGCGCTGGTTCTCAGTCTGCCTGTGTGGAAGTCAGGGGATCTTCTTTGAAACCAGCCTTCCCCTCCTGCTGGAATTCTCAGGCATGGCCACGATTAGGAGCTGAGACAGCACAGCCTTTCTGGGGGAAATGAGGGCGCCGGCGGTTATGTGTGTAAAGTTCAACTCTGGAGACAGGGCCTTCCCCCAGCGCTTGCTCATCAGCAGGAGTCCCGAGTGGGCGCTCCAGTGAGGAGTGCAGCCATGGAGCGTGCACTCTGACCTCAGAATTGTCAGGGAGGACTGTGGCTTAGATAGTAGTTTTCTCGGCCAATTGAAGAGTTTGAAGCCCTAAACTGATCAGCTATTTCCTCAGACATTGTATTGTTCTTGACAAAATGATAAAACAAATATAATGTCATGTAAAATGTCAAATTTTCACTAGTTTTCCTCGTTGGTTGTAAGCGTTTCTTCTTAAATGTCCTATTCAGATATGTATGTGTTGTGAATAGTCAGTCTTCCATAATGGCTCTATTAATGCAAACTCTCTCTCTCTCTCTCTCTCTCTCTCTCCCTCCCTCCACCCCCCCCCCTCACACACACACACACACGTGCGCGCACACACACAGACTTGTACATACCTTTCAATGAGATGATTTCCATGCTTGGGGGCATTACATTCTACCTATGCATGTTTCTATGTCGATCTTCATGAAAGTTTACAAGCTTTTCTTTACAGGTTAAAGTTTGCGGGCTGGGATACAGCTTGGTCTTGACTTTTGGCTGTTTTGCATTCACTGGGAGAGCTTGAATTTTTGATTTGGCTGAAGTAGCGTTCTTGTCTTCTGGCATTCCTGATTCACCTTGGCTCCTTGCACTTCCATCTTTACTGGGCTGTCCGGAAGGCATGGTAAGCTCTGAGCTTTTTGCAGAGCCCTGGGATGTTTGGGATGCATCATCCACTTCCTTTCCATTGTCACCTTCTTTCTGAGGGGAAGGTCCTGAAAGAGCCACCATGTCTGTCTCATTGAGTGGGAGAGCAACAGTATTGAACACAGCAGAGCTGGCTGTCACTTGTATTGGCATAGCAGCTTCCTCGGGAGCTACTGGCTCATCTGGAAGGGGACTAGAGAAACCGGCTTTCTCATCAAGATCATCCTCAACACAAGCTTCGAAGAAGCACTCGATGTCTTCCTTGTCATCGAGGCTAAAGTCCACAGCATCCGGTGGCAATGGAGTGCTGCTCTTCTCGTCTATGTAACTGGTGACCTCCCCACAGTCACTGTCATGGGATGAAAGAGATAGGTAGGAGTAGAAGTCCCCCTTTCTCAGGGGCATGGGCCGATGGGAATGCTCCAGCACTTTCTCCTTAATCTGAGTTAGTGAAGTGGGAGCCGCCACTTCGCTCTCAGGTTGAGATTTACTTTTTAGGGCTGTTGACGCCATGTCGATGATTTCCTTCACAAAGCTGTGCACTGAACAATCTTCAGCCTCTTTTTCATGGGAAACATCTGGCTGGCAGTTGCAACAGGAAGTGCTGTTGCTGACAGAAGCACTTTCCTCTGTCTCATTTTGTCCGAGTAGGCAGCCACCCGCAGATTTTCCAGCCCCACTTGGTGCATCATTAGACAAAGCTTTCAGTCCATCACTGTCTTGTCTGCTTCCAACTCTGGTTCCTAACAGCAGTTCTGGGCAAGGGTTCTCATCGGGCATGCAGGGGTCACTTTGATTTTCAGAATGTTGGAGATTTGGGCCTGTCTGTGGAGGATGTCTGTCACTTGGGGGTCTGAATTCCTTTCCAGCAATATATGAATCCTCTGAACTGTCCGTCAATGCATTATACTCACTGTGCTTGGATTCAGAACTCTGTTTCATATCTAAACTAAGGTTCTCCGATGCCTCTGAGATTCCATTCTGCTTCTCCTTCTGTCTCTCTGGAGCACTTTCAATATTGCCATTTTCCATGTCAGCCACGTGTGGATCTTTACTAACTTCGTAAATATTTCTCTTGTTTTCACCCTCTGTTCCTAAGTCATGAGTTCTGGGCGAATTCTTTCCGTTTCCATTGTTTTCGGAGAGACCCTTTATGGAGCCGTTCAGAAGGGTCTGGATGTTCAGGGTGTCTGAGGGGTTGACTTTCTCACTATGGCCTCCATCTTTATTGCCCTTTATTTCATCAGGGGCACCACACCGCTTCTTTTCTCTGGCCAAGGACAATTTCGGTCTTATCCAAGTCTGCAGTTCTTTCTTGATGTAGTCCAGCCCAGACATCAGGTGGCTTTCTTCATAAATTTCATCGTCTGTTGCAATACTGGAGTCATCGTCGTCGTCTTTGAGGCACAGCTCTTCTTCAGTCAAGGTGAGAGTGGAGCTCGAGAGGAGGTCACTGTCATCTTCATCGTCCGTGCAAGCAGAGGTGCAAGAGACATTGACAATCATGCTAACGTTGACGTCGCTTTCGTCAGCCACCGAGCGGTTCAGGCGCTTCCTGAACGATGCATTGGACTCCGGGACCTTGTTTTTGTGTAACACGATATCCTCTGAACAAAGGGAGAGCTCATCACTACTACTCAGTTCTGTCAGAGATGCTGCGGAATCCTCATTGAGAGACGATGCGACATCCAGTGACGTCTGGCCAGTAAAAGACATCCTTTGGAAACTGCTCTGGAGGGTGATATCAGAAACACTTCGCTTTATCTTTTGCTCCGAGGGGCTCTGGATATTCTCCAGGCGATTCAGGAGGTCTAATGTCCTCTTGCTCAGCTCCCCTCCTGAGCCGCTGCTCACGCTTATGTCCCCAGAACTGTGACAGCTGAAAAGATCTTCGTTGCTCTTATAGGATGTCCACCAGCTCTCTAAAGAAGAGCTCCGCTGGAGGCTGTCGCTGCCATTTTTAAAGACACCTAACCCAAACAAGTCACCCCCCGGAGAAAGGGACTCTACCGATGAGCTACGAGAGACGAGGGAGAGCTGCCTGGCATTCTGAATGCCCGCCAGCATCTTCTCTTTGTCACCGCTTTTATATGAGCTGCGACCCATTTCGTGGGGCGCACTTGCCAAAATCCTCTCGTGGGGAGGCGCATCTGGTTGTAACTCCGGAGCCTGATGTTTAGATCTGCAGGATTTTTTATCAAAATAAAAACCACAAAGAAGGGGATCCTCCACATGTGCCTTCTCACTCTGTGACTGTTTCATTATCATTGGTAATTTGAGTTTTGAGCCTTGGAGGTATGAGTAATCATAAAATGTAAACACGTCATGTTTTCCTTGTAATTCTTCTCCTAAACAATCGGTGGTGTGTTTGGTACCGCTATTTAAATCTCCAGCTTTTCCATTTACACAACCCGCTGGTGAGATGGAGGACTGAGAGATATTTGGAAGCTTAATGCATTCGTCCTCGTCTTTAAATTTTTGCTTTAACACGTTGACTGCATCTCCCATTTGTGGGTCCAGATGTTCAGTTTCAGGGTTACTTGGGGACCCATCCACCATCCCGAACAAACACATTTCAGAGTTGGTAAGCATCTCATTGTCTCCTTCGCTGACAATTCCACTCTCGCTGCCCGAATTCTGGCTCACGTCTCCACTGTGACATGGGCAAGGCCTCACCAAACTGGTGCCCCCCAAAAGGTCCGGCAACGATTTTGTGGATGAAAATGAAGAGTCTGTACTGAGGCTCTTAGTTAAAACACCAGGCTGTGCTGTGCCTGGAAGCTTTGGGCTACTTTTCAGAAATGGAGTGTGGCTGTCCTTGTGGAGTTCAACGTTGTGAAGACTGTACACTTGGTAAACGTGTGGACTGGAAGGTGCGGTGATGTTTGAGGTATACTGGGACCCACAGTCACCTGCCTCCTCCTCATAGCCAGGGTCCTGGTGGCGTGTCTCTTCAAGATTCACTGAAGGTATGACAGGCTCTGGGTCTTGATCAAGGTCATTTGATTCTTCATGCAAACTAATTAGCTTGTTACTTATATCTGTCTCATCCCACTCCAGGGCGTCTTCACTCATTCCATTCAGGTCCATCAAGCCAGGGTCAATCACATTCAAAGTCTCCTGTGTAGAAGGGAGGACAGAGAGATAGGAGAGAGAGAGAGAGAGAGAGAGAGAGAGAGAGAGAGAGAGAGAGAGAGAGAGAG